AATATATTTCAACTGATATTGTAACAATATATCAGGAGCCTTGCATTAAATTTTTACACTTTTTGGCCCAACAGATAAAACTTTATTGATATTCATAGAAAAAAAAACTAAAAAAATTGAAAAATGAAAATATCCGTAAACAGCTCAAAAAGAGTCAAAATATTTTCAAAATTGTATGGTGTATAGGAAATGCTAATATAAACACTCAGTGAAATTTTCATATATCTATAGTTATTCGTTTATGAATTACAACAAAATAAGGAATCCAGTGGCGTCATTTCAGTTTTCAATAGAGGGGGGCAAAGGTTTTGACCGGCCCGAATAGGTAAAAAAAAAAACCGCTCGCTTCGCTCGTTATATTATCTACATTATTTTATGCAACCCTTTTTATTAACTAGGTAATATCATTTTTAAATAGAAGGTGGCAGATATTTTATAAAAAACAATTGTACACCTACATCAATTAAAACTTAAAAGTCTACAAACATAATATAGCAATATTTATTGATAAACAAAAATATAAGTAGCTTATTAAAGGATATCTTCTTTTTTTTTTATTTTATGAAAATATATCAACTGCATCATCTATAAATCAATTTTACCTTATTCATCACTTCTCACCTATACTCTATATGACTATATGTATACGATATATTTTCAAATTAATATTATTTTAAATTATAATATTTATTATTTTTATTGCTTGCTTAGTGCTTACTGGTTTAAGTTTTGTATTTTTATTAAACATACCAGAAATTGTTTTCGATTCTTGAGCGGTTGCGGTAATTTTATATTTTTAACCGCACCACCCATTTACTTTTTTTTAAGTCATATTTTGCTCAAATTGAAAGATTAATGTAAACACGCGACACGAAAAAATAAATTTTAATTTAGGTAGGATAAGGTACACTACAGGGCCAGATTGACCCGGCGAGTTACCGATGTAAAACTCAGCGGGCCGCGACAATTTTGGGCCGTTCAAGTCATGAGGGGCCGCATTGACTAAAAATATGTTAAGAGTTAAAAGTTGAAGAAATGGAGACTATAAAATAAAATAACTATGCACGGAATAAGAGCGTACCCAAGTGCCGCCAGTTTTAAAGTGGGTTGTTAAAGTACGGAAAACTCGGTGGGCCGAATTTGTCCAACCCGGCCCTGGGTACACAACACAATACGTAGAATAGTTGAATAATTTACCATACACGACTGTCGCAACTCGTAAGTTAACTGCGTATGAAGTCTGGTATCAATGGACAATGATAATATTAATAAGAGTGCCAATCAGTTGTTGTTTTTAGAATTTGTATTAATTTTAGATTTTAGAAATAAAACTATACGGGATTACGATACTCATTATTATTATTGTTATACACTCACACAAATAAACATACCTTATACCTACATACAATGTGTACGTCCCCGCATACGTTTAAATATAAATATATTCCAACTATCAATTATTAGAAAAAATGTATCATTGTGACAATAATTTCTGAGTACATAGGTAGTATAATATTTTCTGAAAATATTATAAAATAGACATGTTTTTGCGCTGATAAAAAATAATAATGGTAAAATGGCAAAAACTGGGCACCGGCCCTTCGGGCTGCTTTTAAAATCAGACAGGGGCAAATGCCCACCTTTCCCCCCCCCAAATGACGCCACTGAAGGAATCACTACATGAGAAATCGAGTGAATATCCAATGTTAAAAAAATATGTATTTCAAACGCTCATAAAAATTTAATTTGACTGTCCGGTAGAGATATTTTCATTGATAAAGGTAGACAAACTTATGAGTTATGAGTAATCTTGTATTACATTTTCAAATCTTAGATTTAAAAAGGAAAATGTTTACGAATTCTTAACTCAAAATAATTTGCTATTTTTCGTGATTTTTCCATATTTTGTCATCTGCCTTTGAAACAATATACTAGGAGCCTTCTATTAAATTTTCAAGCTTTTTCAACCAACAAATAAAATTTTATTGATATTTTTAGAAAAAATACTAAAAAAAAAATGGAAAATGAAAATATCCGTAAAGAGCTCTAAATAAGTCAAAATATTTGGAAAATGTTATGGTGTATAGAAAATGCTAATATAAACATTCAATCAAAATTTCATGTACCTACGTTCATTTGTTTAAGAGTTGCATGAAAAACCAAAATCGAATTTCTCAAAAACAGATTTTCCGAAAAAAATCCCGTTTTTCCTTAATTTTTATGTTGTTTTTTCCCGGTGCTTGTGAAAACTATTGGGAAATTTAAATTTTGACCTCCCCAACTTTCGAATCGAAAAAGATACTGAAGTTGAAAATCGAAGCATTATTTCGAATACTTTTCGACTATCGTGCATACAGACACAAAAATAAAAAAAATATATAAAAACACACATCATTGTAATTTGTAAAATCAATACATTCATCGTTCCACTCAGAATCTAAAATGTTCAACTTTTATAGCTAAGGATTGAAAATTTAAAACAAAATTCCACATAAGTAATTAATTCTGTTACCAAAAAATCTAAAAAATACTTAAGAACAGTTTATTTTTATAGTCATTTAAGGTCAAATTTGGACGAAATTACATAATAAAAAACCTAGAATAACTAGTTTAGTTATTTTGTTGTGATTGTATAATATCATTTGTATGGGTACTTGAAACTTCTAAAGTGTACTACTACTACTACTACATATCTATTATAGTATGACGGTTTGTTATTGATGTATAACGAGTTATAAGTAGGTACATATAATGGCTATTGTGATACCTATTATTAATTTGGAATTTATTATAGGTCAATTTTATACCGTAGATATGTATAATATGTCTTATACCTAGACTGATATACCGTCTTCGCTTAGAATCGTTTTTCTTTACAATGATATTCTATCATTTAATTCAAATTTAATACCATCCATTATACAGTGACCCATATTGTACCCATATTGTAGTTAAAAATGTATAAAATGTTAAATGTTCAACTTTTATAACTAAGGATTGAAAATTTACAACAAGGTTCCACGGTTCCAAGTAAATAGGTTATAGATATATTATTTTATTCACAATAATGTCATCAAAATATATACCTACTTGGTAATATATATAATATAATATATATATTCATATCAGATCATCGTAGTTTTTATCTTATAAAATTGTCGCACAATCAGGTTTTAGACGATAACGACGTTGCCCCGTTTTAAGATAAGACCGTGTTAAGCGTGTGGAGCATCGATTATCGACTATTGTCTTCAGACCGCCAAATTTTTGTTTATCATTTTCTTTTCGTTGTCATTGTTGGCGTCTGTAAACTGTAAAATAATAATATATTCTCAGTCAGAATTTTTTAACAAGTTCGAGCAGACAGCAGCTATCGATTTCGCACCATCGCTATTATAGTGTTTGGTCTACCAGCTATTCCTAGTTTTGACTGATTTTTCAACTCATTCATATAGGTAAGAACTTACAACCAACTACTTACGTCGGTTTAGGTAAAAAGTACATTGCGGTTACATTTGTCTAATTTTTGGAGTATAAACTGAATGCATAAGTTGCTACCGGCTTGAGCTCTAAATGTAGAATGTTTTAAGAGAATCTTAAAGCTTAATTGTTGAAATAATCTCACAATTTTGAATAGGTTAAATTTCTTAAGAAGGGGATATAAAATCAGTATCAAAAAAATCGCTTTAAATTCCGTGCACATTATCCCTGTAGCGTGAGCCTAAAATACAACTGGACACAATTTACTTGCACCTCGGCATTTATAAAATTTTCATTATACAATTCAATACTACATTAATACAGTCATATCATCACTAAATTACTAACCTACCTACGTAGTTAATTATCCCCTTGAAAATTTTATGGTGCTATTCAGTGATCTTTTAGTGATAAGTTCTTCTTTTAATTGTGTCTATATAATAGTTATGTTCATACTTAAATATTTAATACCTAACAATATGTACTATAAATTATTTCTTGACATGGTACAAAATATAATTTAATCAGTAACAAGTGTCTGATCAACAATAATTGAAATTTAATTGTGTCTTACGATAGTTAGACTCTATGTCATTAAAAATACTTGGTAATGCCTCACAACATAGAACATTTGGTATATATTATTTTTCTTAAATGTATACTTTATCAATCACTTTGCTGACAGTAACACGTTCACTTCCTACGGTCACATGGCAGTTTTTTTTACAGGGCCAGGCTCTATTGTTGATGTCATGCATGAAATCATTTTTTTTTATTCATAATTTTAATCTGCTTAAGACAAGAAATATATCGATACAAAACATTCTACTCTAAGGCATCATCAAATACATTCATTATTAGTCCAATAACACGGATAACCTTCCATTGACAAATAATTGTTTTTATGACAGCCCGTCATAATTGTTAGATATCCAGTTATAATGTATTCAATGTGACTAGGCGTCCCACATTAGGAGGGGGATCGTCCTGCTATTGAAATTTCAATACTCCTTTTCAAATGTCTGCTTTTATCCTGTACAAAAGTTCAATATTTTAATAACTTTTTAATTAATTTTGGTGGAAATACATTTTTTATTAGGTATGTATAGTCCATGGTTTTAATTAAACCACAGATTAAATAAATATTTAATAATATTACCCATAGTACTATAATTTGTGGTTATACAATTTGGTAGTGACCATTAAAAATGTACTTGTACTATGTATAATTACCAAGTTTTATAAATAGTAGTATTCAAATCTATTTTATTATTACGATATAGGTACATAATATATTAGAAATACAATTAATTAATTTATTATGGAGTAATTTCCTAATTAATAAGCAATTTATCTGATAGGTAGATATTGGTAATAATTCAATTTTTCTTAGAAAATGTCCCCCTCTTCAACAGACAAATTATGGCTGTGTATTGGTGATTTTCATATATACTTTGGATTTAATTTTGTATGTTTTACTATATTTATTTCAGATTTATTAACCCTAATCTTTAATCATTATGGAACAATATATTGTAAGCAGTAATAGTGCATTAGAACTTAAACTCGGTAATTATAATACAAATAAAAAATATGTCAAAATTATGTATACCTAATATTTATTTTTATTTTTAAGTTCGTAAGCCTAGTGATATCAATGATCCAAAAGCAGCATTTTATCCAGACATGACTTACCAAGTATTTGGAAATATGTAAGTATTTAAATAGTTTGATATAAATAGAATTGTTTAAACAAAATTTATTTTATTTCAGGGAAAAAATATTTGGATACAAAGACCTTGTTGTAAAAATGTATTATACTGCTTGTAGTCTTAAGCTGTATATTAATATAAATTATTCTTCAAAAGTGGATTCAGAGAAATTTGGTATGAATGTAAGTATTATATTCTTTTTTTTTTATCATTAATATAATTAATCAACCAGTTTATGTTGCTTATCTCAATTCTCATGTAATACCTTTAGTAAAAATTTCAATTACAATAACATTTAAAATAATTGTTTTCATAATTATAAGTTAATTTTATAAACGTCATTGTATTTGAAAACAGGATTAATTTCTAATTATATATTTATGAAATACAATACACTTTAATAATTAACTTAGTAATTTATTGGCAAATTTGGTATTTCTTTAAAAATAGACATTGAAACTGTCACATTATAACATTAACACTTGAATAAACATTGTTGGTTTTTTTTTCTTTAAATAGTCTTTTCTAACACATTTAAAAACCTCATAATTGTACATTTATTGCTTCGCTCAGAATCTAAAATGGATCAAACTTGTTTTTTAAATTTAAAGTCTAATAAAAAATAAAATTTTAATGTAACTAAATTTGAAAAAAATGCCTATTAAAATATTCATTATTCTAGTCATTGGTGTTTGCCCGTCATAACAATCTAATTCAATTTAGAGTATTATAAAGCAAAATATAAGTGTAAAATACTATATAAGCAATATTTTTTAAGAAGATATAATAACTGAATAAACACAACATCAAGTAGTAGTAGAATATTGGTGTTAGTTGCTTCTATTTAAAATTTTCTAATTAAATTTATCTTTTATTTTAGATAATATATTTTTGATCTTTATGTTAGTGGGATAGCTCAAATTTGCTTTAAAGTCAACCAGTTAAATTCAATGCTAACTACTAAAACTTATATGTTTAATGTATCATTAATTTGGTAATAAATTATGTTTATTTTATAGCCGGATAATATAATGGAGAAACTTAAAGATTATATTACTCCTAATTTCCATTCAAACATTGATGTGTTTGAAAAGTGTTTAGAAGATGAGCCGTCATTTAAGCCCTATGGAAATCAACTAGATCAATTTGTTTTAAGTAAGATGAATTTAAATTCAAATTTAGGTTAACATTCATATTAATATTTTTAACTATGGTTGTAGACCATAATGAAGAAAACAAGAAATTCGAAGTCTATGTAATTGAAGATGAAAACACCGAGTTTAAGGAATATTTTAATCAACTTCAGACATTTGTTTTATGGTACATAGATTCATCAAATATCATCGATTTTGATGATTCTAAATGGAAGATATTTATCATGTGAGATATAATTTTGTATCATGTACCTACTTATATATTTTTTTATTATAATCTAAATGATTAAAAGCGTATTCACAGAATCACAGCTACGTTGTGGGTATCAAATCACATTGTGATTGAACGTTACTATTTTGGTATCATGAAATAACCAAGTTCCAACCTTTTTTTTTTCTTCGGTTTCAACCGACGACGCCGCGGGAACTGCTTTCGCACTCTTCCGCGGCGCCGCCATCGTTTATTTGATAACAAGCAAATAATTTATACATAAATGGAGTAGACGGGAGAATACCCTGACTTACCCCCCCCCCTCAGACCAAGTTGCAACCTAGTATATCATAAAATGACTACCGCTCAACTTTTAAACTAATATGGTTACCAGTTGTAATCATAGTTACCACATTCTCGCATGACATGACACACAAAGTAGCTGTGAATCCGACTTAATACTTAACTATATTATAATGAACTTATCAAAACAATGATAAAAATTTGAAATTGTTGTTTCTATATAGAAGTAGTAAAATTTATTTTACTTAATATGTGAAGGCAATTTCAAAACTAATAAAAAACAACTGAATAGTTTAACTAATAATAAGTAATATGTAACAATATAAATGTATTTAACATTAATTACTGAGGAACTCGTTTAAGACGCTCTACTTGGGACCAGTTAAAAATAGCGTCTTAAGCGGTTAATCGTATTATAATTTAAAAATTAGAGTGAATTGACCTCTTATAAAATCTAAAGGTAACATTATTATCTAGGCAACCTCATTTGGGCGTTTTATTATATTTTAATTTTAAAGCGAGTCTTGAGTATTTTAAGCTGTACAAACAATTTACAACTTTAAAATACTCGTAACTCGATTTAAAATCAAAAAAAAGCCCACGAGGTAGCCTAGTTAATAATCTTCCCTTTAGATTTTATAAGAGGTAAGTTTTCTCTAACTTTTAAACTAACAGACCTACACGTGTTCCGCTGAGCGTAAAATTTGCTATGCACTTGTAAGACGGAGACCACACATGCGGGTATCACATCCTTTTAAGCGAGAGCGTTTTAAATGTGTTCTTCTGTTTTAACACTTTCAACGCCGATGACACGTATATGCGGCAACAGAGTTTATTCAATTGGGCCAGTAACATGTACGTTTGTATCCGCCATAATTTAATCGATTTTATTTTAATAAACTCTGAAATGTACACAGGCTGTAGACAATAAACTCTAAATTTAAATCTATAATTGGTTTGAGTTTTCGTTATTATTAGATACTGATAATCGTTGTTTTTGAAGGCCTTCCCAAGACAATGTATATGAACGTATACAGGGTGTATATTAGATATATTATTATATTATTATGAATTTTTCTACTGTTATTTAATAATAGTAACATACTGTATCTTGAAATATGGCTACTTTGCCACTAATAATATTGAAAATACAATAATTTGTTCATTTGGCGTATATACTTATATACGATACTACAACGGACGCCTGCAACGCGGCGTCGTGGCTAATTGCCGAAATCACGGGCGGCGTTGAACGTGGTTAATGTTAATAAAATATTATGTATAAATTATATACAATAATAATACATATAAAATTTAATTCCAGGTATGAAATTTTTAAAAATGAAAATGGTGATTTGTGTTATACACCAGTGGGATATTCAACTATCTATGAATATTATGCCTACCCAGATAAAATCCGCCCAAGAATTAGTCAAATGTTAATTCTACCACCATTTCAAAGGAAAGGATTGTGTGCTAAGCTCCTGAACTCTGTTTACAAACACTACGCTACTAAATCAGATGTTATTGATATTACAGGTATTAATTTATATTTATTTAAGTAATTGTATATAATTATTAAAATATATGTGTTTGAGTATCTATTAATTTGCTTTTTCTTATCAGTTGAAAGTCCAAACGATGAATTTCAACTTGTTCGAGATTTTGTAGATGTTACTAATTTTTATAATCTTAAAACATTTGATGAAGAAAAATTTAAAAAACTGCATTATCAAGAAATGGTTAAAGAATTTAAAAATCTTTACAAAGTCAACCAGGTAATTCGTACAATAAATTTATATAATTTTATTTATTATACACAGGTATGCATGTTATTTATTTATTTAAAATTTTAAGCTCCAATCGGCATAGTTATAATAACAATTATTTACATTTAGGATGAAGTGGAGTAATTATAAATCAGGGTAATTGTTAAATGATAATATATAAATATTTAATTTCCCCTCGGGTAAAGTTTTTAAGTTAAGGGAAAATTATTTTTTTTAGTTAATTCATTTTTAATTGGATGTTGCTTATGTTTAGTGTTTGTATTTATATTAAGATAAGGTCAAGTATGCAAATGAGCCAAGACTTATTAAAAATGTATGGAAAAATTTATTATTTATACATGATGTATAGTTCACACTTGAGACTATCAAAATAGCGATCAGGAATTGTATATTTAATACTATATTCATATTCCCCTAGATACAATTGCACACTAATCGATAGGAACAACTTTACTCATTAACAATTACTCCATAAAAAAATTTCCTATGACACAATTGTAATTATTAATTAAGAAAATAAAAATATATTGTATGGATTTCTTCTTGCAAATACTTATTTTTTAAAGAACTGTCAATTGATTTTAACATAAAATCAAATAGTAATAATATGGACCATATTCAATTTTCTTTATAAATAGTGAATTATCTATTTACAATTACACCACTTCACCATAGAAAACAAAATTAATATAATAGTCTATTTTGTCGCATGATAGTGGTATATGCCTAAGATTTTTAATTACTAGATATTTAAAATAATCACATCTCTAGATTCGGTGTGCTAAGCACACTAGGCACCCCTATGATTTGCGCTAATGTGTATGTCTCTATATACATTTAAAAATACAATATTTATTGTATTTTTATAGGAATAAAGTTCAGCTTCTGCACCTGCTTCATAATACCGGGGAGTGCAAATGCACGTAATTAACATTGACCTTAGAATTAAAATCCTGGGAAAAAACTTGACTACACGAGTGATATATAAACTGATATATTTTATTGGGAGTGCAAATATATCTTAATTTGTCTGAAAGTTTCTTTATTTTGGCTATAAAAGTTGCTTCTCTTTCATGTATTTAATATTGTAATTCATATGTATATCAAATTAATTATGCTCATTATTGTAATAAAATCTATGAAATATGTATATTTATTTTAAATTAAATAATAATTCTTGGTTAAAATTGTTTTAGAAACAAGTCCGTCGTGTAATAGAAATTATATTACTAAAAATTACCAATCGGCAGAATAAAGATGAATATGAAAAGTATAAGAAATTTGTAAAAACAAGATTGAATTGGCCATTCCAAGTATGTATCTTTTATTTAATAATTAATCTAATTTCTAACAGTTGAATTTTTTGTCTTATATATTTATTTATTTTTAGAAAAAACCTACCAAACTTATGTTAGCTATGCCAGCCGAAGAAGCTGAAAAAATCCAAAAAGGTGACTCACTTGTAAAATTAGAAGATTTAGATATTGAGTATAATGAATTAGAACCATCATATGATAAAGTAATCAAGCGAGTAGAAGTTAGCCTTTCTGTATAGAATATAACTGCCATAAATATCCGGTTTTTAATTGGTTGTATGATAAATATTTTTATTTCAATTTTTCTACATTTATTTTAATTATTTCTAACTTAAATAAAATATGATTTGTAAGTATGTTCCTTTTTTTTTTTTCATTATTTGAAATAATTAAGTTAAAAAAATAAACGAATATTAATTAAGTGTTTTAAATATAATCATTCAAATTTAATATTACATAATTTATAACTTTTAAGTACTAAATATGTGAATCATTTTATGTTTTTATTTTGTATTATAAAATTTGATGTTGAAAAAATTAATTTTATAGTAGTTAATAAAACCAAATGCATCATTCAATCTACTAAAAAGAATTTTTATTCATAAATCATTTTGTCAATTTTCATTTTATTTCATCAACATTATTTAAATGTAACACTCAATGTTATATATTATTACAGCAAATGAGCGAGTACATTTCAGTTGTCAATCATCATCCATTCGTTCATCAAATTCATCTGAAACCTTATTGTTTAAACTATGTTCTATGAAAAAAAATACTTTTTCTTAGAAGTATACTGTAGAACTGTAAAAACCTGTGTCAGCCAGATGATCCTCTCATAGTATTCTGTCAATGAACTTTAAAGTTACTAATTGGTACAGCGTGGAGGATGTGCTAATTTAATTGTTTTTTTTTAAGATACCGAACCTTTCTTTCATGTTAATAGTGTGTTAATTATAAAATATAAATCAATAATAATTGATACAAAACAACTGTTAAAAAAATAAAGTAAAATGATTTATTTAGTTACATCAATGTAGCGGTTATAACAATTGTTGTTAAATGGCACAATATATTTTCATTGTTTTATTTTGACTAATAGTTATTAAAAGTTAAAAACCTTAATGTCTAATCACTTTGATGAACAATAACAATAATAAATTATAAATCATAAATTCAATAAAAAAAAAATTAAATCAACACACATTCATACACCTTTGGGAAAAAGTTGTTAAAATTATGACATTCCAAATATTTTAAGCGCATTAATTGATGTTGCTAAAGCCACTTCATCTGGTTTTTTACCAATAAAACCGGCTAATAATTCCACTAAAATAGGTAATGAGCATGGTTCGTTTCGATGAAATGTACAGTAACGCTGTAAAAATCCCAGTGATCTGTAAATACAGTATAATATAGTAAATAATAATGATTTAAAAATGTATATTTAGTATGAAACTATACCTTTGTGTGAGGCTCGATTTTAATGCGTCAGTAAGATTTGCTGCTCTAGCATTTGGATACATGAATGGAGAATCCGATTGCACTAGTATTCTATCTAGTGTTAATGTTCCTGCGCTTAAAAGTTTTTTTATTCCGCTACCAGAACTATCTTTGCACAATCCTCCTACAAAAATAAAAATATTAAAATTATTGGATATGAACCTTGTTTAAAGCTATTACATACACTATATATTTAAATATTGTATGATGTAATTTACATAATATTATCATTATTCATTGAGCAACAGCAGAAGTTACCTGTTATTCCAATGTACATTCCCAAGTTAATGTAGTCAGTAGCTTCTTCAAAAGAACCAGTAAATGAATGTAAAATTGCTGGAAGCTCCAAAGGCAAATGCGTTTTTAAAATCCTTAAAAAATCTTCATGTGCTCCTTTTTGATGCAACATGATGGGCTTTTTAATTTCTTTAGCCAAAGAAATCTACATAAAAAAAAAACAAATATTAATAAAGTAATATATAATATGTTATATTAAAACCAACATGCAAAATAAACAACCATTTTATTCTAACCTGTTGCCTGTTGTTTGCAAAGATAATCATATAATAAATATTAGTTAAAAAATTTTAAATAAATATCTCTTACTAACTTTATACTCTTATATTTTAGTAATACCTGTAGTTCAAAAACTTTTCTTTGTATATCAGGCGAAGAAAAATCTTTGTTATAATCCAAACCACATATACCAATAGCTACACATTCTGGATTCTTAGCAATATCTCTCAGTTCATCATAATAATTATCTTCCCAAGATTTTGCTTCATGTGGATGGATACCTATTAAACATAATAAAATAAACAAATAACACGTATAATAGTACCTATTAGTCAGCAGTTAATAGAAGTGGTAAATAAATAAGTACCTAATTGAATATAATATTTTTACAACTACATACCTATTTTATAAAACTGTAGGTACCTACTACCTACCTAACTTACATTTTAATTTCTATAATTAAGGTAATCTATTTCATATTTTAGCATAAATAAACAATTTTATTTAAAATTAAACTATAATTGATCAAAAAACATTGACTTATGGGTAGGTACCTACTGAAATCTAATTTAATTATTACTTTAATTATAACTTATTATAGGTGGGTACCTATTTGTATTTAATTGCATATGTTTTAGTCGTCATATTGATCACTACTAATTTAATTAGATAAACATTTTATAGACTTGATTATTAATGGAATTTGTAGGTCATTTACCTGCCGTTGAATATAAGGCTCCTGGATATATTCTTGCTAACCGCAACGCCTCTTTACTCGTTCTAAGAGAGGTGCAAGGAACAATTATTTTTTGAACACCTGTAAAAGGATAAAATAATCGGCACAATGCAACAGTAATAATATATCCACAGTTGTTGAAAGTGAACAATACCATAGGAAGTTGTTATACTATATAATATCTGTCGTGTCAGATAAATCAAAAAAGTTGGGCGACACAAGATAATATGTTAATTGATAAAACGTATCAATAGCGTCGCATAACTATACCTGAATCTTTTGCTCTCTGTAACACCGATTCCAAGTCCCGGCTGAACTTCTTGTTCACCATGTTCGATCCAACGTCGATGAGCAGATAGTTGTCATAGTTCTCTCGGATCGGATCCAGTACTTTGACCGTACTGTTGGGTTGAAAAGCCATGATACCTCTACAAAAAGGCGTACGGAATTACACGTAAATAGCCCTAAACGATTATTATTGTTGAATACGTTGTGTCTGTGTGTGTGTGTGTATATATATATATATATATATATAAAACGTTCTTTGTGTTTTAACTGTGCCAGAACTGAACTAATATGATTTATCTACACTGTACATCGATCGTGGTGGTCTACTTACTACTTATCTAATGTCTATAGAGTTGCCAGTTGTTGATAAAGAACGGACAAATACCTATGACATTAATTATAATAAATTGTAATCGAAAACAACAGCATTAAAAAATAAAATTCCACGCGATAGCGACCGAACCAGCCGCGGATCGTCAGTCGTCACTTGTCAGTAGTGTTATCACTAAGTATAAATAATACTATGACGGGACGGGTAGCGATGTTTGTTCACAGTATAAACTATAAAGAATTATTATTATTATTATTTAGGTGTACTGTGGTTTGTTGTTCAACACCATCGAGTCAACGCAACAATTATAATAGTCCGTGTTGGTAAATTCTTATGATAAGAGCTCACGAAAGAATTTTTTCTATTCGAAAATACATTTATACTGACCACTTTTTTACAATAATTTTCATTATAATATTATATTATACACAGGACTGAGGACTATATTTTATTAGTACATTTAAAGTTAAATAATGTAATAAGTCATATAATATGAATTATGATCGTCGTTTAAAATTTAACAATATAAAATTCATAATAAAAATAATAATATATTATTTTTCAACAATAGTATTAACAAATTAATTTTCTTTTAACACTACGAGACCAATGGTCATTTAAACCATCACTTGTACTTATTACTAAGAATATTCTTATTATAATATTACGGTTTTAAATGACATAATAATTAATATTATTATATTTATTAAGCTCTTTTATAATAATAGTTTATATTGCTTAAAACTAATGTATTATTATTATTATTATTATAAATTGTGCATCATTACATTTTAAACGACGATCATATTATATGTCTTAAATAATTTTACTTTAAATGTACTAATACTTCTTTCTTTTGTAGTCCTGTACTCCTGTGTTCCTTAAATATATTTATACTATATTATTATAGTGAAAATACTTGCAGAAAAGGGGAAAAATATAGGCAATTGTATATACGGATCCGAAAAGTTCTTTCCGGCGAAGATTCGTCGTGTTTTATAAAATATGAAATACAAACTATGTATGATTATTGATTATAATAACCCTCTCGTATGTTCGGTTGCAATTCACGACATTTTCATGTTAAGATCATCGAAGCACACGTATTGTAAATACGTTTTGGACCAATGAGCTTTGGTAAATTACACATACTTCGGAATGTCCGATTTTAAGGGCGTTGGAGCGTATCATGTTTTAAGGAGTAATATTTAGGCAATTCATATGAGTGTTCATTTAGAGTTCTAAATTTTAGACTATGTGTGACATGAACATTATTAGTGTGTTTCCGAGAAACGCTCTCACGCCGCGTCGGGCAACTCTCGCACACGCACGAACATGTCAATTAAAAGCAAAAAATGAAATATAATATTCTCGTTTGCATGACTATAAAAACTACGAAAATGTGTACAAAATTAAACATATTCCCGAAGTAATTTTGAAAAAAGGTGGGCAAGTGGGTGTCGCTCTGCTGTACAGTAGGTTACAAGTGGGTCACTGTATGATGGATGGTATTACATTTGAATTCAATGATATTATATCATTGTATAAGAAAAACGATTCTGAGCGGAGTCGGTATGTCCTTCTAGGTATAAGACATATTATATACTTACCTATGGTATTAAAAAATATTGACCTATAATGAATTCCAAATTAATCATATCACAATATCCATTAGGCACTATTATAACGCGTTATACACCAACAACAAACCCTGATACTATTATAGATATATAGTAGTATACTTTAGAAGTTTCAAGTATACCCAAGAATAATATTATACAATCACAACAAAATAACTAAAATAGTTATTCTAGGTTTTTTATTATGTAATTTGGTCCAAATTTGAATTTAAAATGTCTGTAAAAAATAACTGTGTTCATATATTTTTTAGATTTTTTGGTTACAGTATGAACTATTTATGAGAACCTTTGTTTTAAATTTGCGATCCTTAGCTATAAAAACTGAACATTTTATAATTTATTAATTACAATGATTGATAATTTTCGAGATTTTGATAAATTTTGTCAAAATTCCATCTTTAAATGCTTATAAAAAAAAATTGTGCATATGTATTTTATATATTTTCAATTGCTATTGTAACAATATATCAGGAGACTTGTATTAAACTTTTACACTTTTTGGCCAAACAGATAAAACTTTATTGATATTTATAGAAAAAAAAGTAAAAAAAATGAAAACGGAAAATGTCCGTAAACAGCTCAAAAAGAGTCAAAATATTTTCAAAATTGTACGGTGTATAGATGCTAATATGAACATTCGGTGACATTTTCATGTATCTACAGTTATTCGTTTTTGAATTAAAACAAAATAAGGAAATCGCTACATGAGAAATCAAGTAAATATCCAATGTTGTAAAAATTTGAATTTCAAACGCTCATAAAAATTTGATTTGACTTTCCGGTAGAGATTTTTTTAATAATAAAGGTAACCACACTTATGAGTAATCTTGTATTACATTTTCAAATCTTAGATTTAAAAATAAAAATTTTTACGAATTCTTAACTCAAAATATTTTGCTAATTTTCATGGTTTTTCCATATTTTGTCAATTTTTGAAATTTAAATGCTTATTAAAAAAAATAATGACTAAGGAATTTTAATACTTTTCATCTGCCTTTGAAACAATATACTGGGAGCCTTCTATTAAATGTTCAAGCTTTCGAAACCAACAAATAAAATTTATTGATATTTTTAGAATAGAAACTAAATAAAAATGGAAAATGAAAATGTCCCTAAACAGTTCAAAACAAATCATAATATTTAAAAAAATTTATTGTGTATAGAAAATACAAATATGAACAACCAGTAAAAATGTCATGTAGTATATACGTTCATTTGTTTTAGAGTTACACCAAAAACCAAAATCGATTTTTTGGAAAACAGATTTTGCGTAAAAATTCCCGTTATTCCTTAATTTGTATGTGTTTAATGTGAAAACTATTGGTAATTTTAAAACTTGACCTCCCGAACGCACCAACTAGGTTCACTTTCCAAGATACTGAAGTTGAAAATCGAAGCATTATTTCGACTACTTATTGTGTACACAGACACAAAATAAATAAAAAAATTTAAAAATTAAAAAAAAACACACATCATTGTAAAATCAATAGATTCATTGTTCCACTCAGAATCTAAAAATGGTTGAATTTATACTATGCTCTTCAGTCTTCAGTAATCAATTTTTTGATTTAAAATCAGATGTGCCAAAACAAATACAAATGCAATGCAATTATTTCATGGGATTTTTGAAAAAAATATCTTAATTTTAAGGTCTTTTAAAATTGAAAATCAACTTTTTGAAAAGCCTAAATATTTTGCCAACGAATTCGTAGATATATTAAAAATTCAAATCAGACATATCCAAGTATGTGTAATTACTAATTTACCACCGCTTATTGGTCTAAAACTCTAAAACGTATGAATAATACGCGTGTGCTTAGATCCCTTTAATTGTTAACATATGTATGAATTCTTTGACAAAATATATTTATGCTTTTAGGAAGTAGATTTTTCATTTTAAAGGACCTTAAAATTAAGATATTTTTTTCAAAAATAAAATGAAATAATTTCATTACATTTGTATTTATTTTGGACACATCTGATTTTAAATATAAAATGTACCATATGTTTTTGAAATTACAATCGTACTAGGATGTATGTTTAATTTACTACCGCTTTTAGTAATTTTTATAATAATATAATTCGAAATACAAATTCAATTCAAAGGGCATAAAAAGCGACGTCATTCTCTATCAATTGCTCTTACTCATTTATCGATACGATTAATTTTTACGATGCAAAACAAAAATTTAGATTTAGACACAAGTACCAAAATGTGTAAATTATGGGGGGGGATAAAGCAAAGGTTGAGGGGAGTTAGCCCCCCCAAATTTGCGCCTATGTTCTGTTGACAATAAAATAATAATTTTAAAAAACGTGGTATGCTGTATAGTAGTTTACAAGGGGGTCACTGTATAAATGGATGGTATTCAATTTGAATTCAATGATATATCATTGTATAGGAAAAACGATTCTGAGCGGAGACGGTATGTCAGTATCAGTGGCGCAACTAGCGGGTAAGTTAGCAAAGTGAAACTTTGGGGCTTCCGATTTATCGGGGGCCCCCATAATGAAAATTGGTTTTTAGTATTTTTTCACATTTTATAATATTATAAAATCATTAACATAGCTAAATAATAAATGGGGGCCAAGAATGTGTTCTAAATAATTTTCTTCCTATAAATATAAATTCGTTTTCGCAACTCCAATAATAAACAATAAACTATTGACGAGCTATATAGCAGATGTTTGGTGGAGTGGCCGAGTGGAGACGGTTACTATTTATACCTATTCTTATAACTTATTAGTTGTTAATAAATAATAATAATACTCATGGGCGATGGGCCCATTCAATATTTATTATTTTCGTTATTTGTTCATCAATCGGAAATCCGTATTGTTAAGTGAACTCGTAATTCGTATATTTAATAAAGTTGACATAGTGGCATAGACGCATTTTTATATTATTTAATATTTTAATACTGGAGAATACCAGCTATTAACTAGTTGCGAGTTAGTCGCAAAAGATGTTGCTGCAAAAATAAAGTTGGACGATGTAATAAATACATTTGCAAATTCTAAAGCCAGAAAAGTCAACTTTTTAAAATAAAATTATCAAAGAAAGTTACCAGATATAGGTAATTAACTTTTTTATTTTATAGTGTTTATATTGTTTACTACCAATGTTCAATGTTCATTAAACTCTATAGACTAAATTATATT